GCAACACCAGTAGTTGATGGCAAGTATGGAACATAATCCTCTACTTCAAGTTTGACTTTAGATCCGTCTGGTTTCTTGAAGTACGGCCTACTGTAAGCGGGCCAATGGAAGCTCCATCCTGCGTCGATGCAGCGTTGTCCTACCGAAACGACGGCTGGGCTATCTTCCAAGACGTAAGGATTGATGTCAGCTCCCAACACGGGGACATTGACTCTGGCTTGGTCAGTGGCTTGAAAGACTCCGTTGGCAGTAAGAAGACTGACCGGTTTGGACGATTGTGACACTTCATCCGAATGTAGCATATGCCTAGACACAAGATCGTGTGCGCTCCCAGTGTCTGCGATCCATGCAATCTCAGTGGCAGGCACTGTTGGACATGACCTCCTCCCAAAACACTTGATGCAACCTATATCGGAGTTGCACAGGTACGAACATTCTGCCGGCAAGGACGAAAGTTCGTTCCCAACAGCATTCTGAAGGTGTAATGCTGCAATGGATGCGTCCTCAGTAGCGACACGAACTGCCTCAGCATGCTCCGGTCGACCTGGTGTAAAAGGTCTTCTTTTCTTCTTACTTCGGGGTTGAACGGATCTCCAACTGGAAGAAGACTCAACAGCATGATTGAAAATGTTTGGTTGATCGTCAAAACGAACTCTTTGCGTAACAAAACTGTCAATGTTTTCTGTGTTGTCAAAATCGGTGCACATAGTGTTTGATGCGGAAAGGACTGGCATGGCCACGCTTCCCAGCGGGCGAGTGATGAGGACGGAGGATCCCTGAGAGACCACTGCGGCCATGACCACTGCTCGAAGGAGGCATACCGCTGCCGGTGCATTGGAAGAAGAAGACTTCCCACCTTTTCTCCTCTGACTCTCAGAGCCAGTTGAGTTGTCGGAGCCTGATGATCCTCGTGAGCTGCTTCGCTTGCGAGGTTTCTTGTCTTTCTTCTTCTTCTTCTTTTTGTCCTCTTTCTTCGCAGGGACAGTCTTTTCAGGGTGTTGGAATGCGCAGTCTTTTCCTCGGTGGCAATGTCCTGCCTTCCAAAACTTGCAAGTCTCCTTGCGAGATCCTGGTGTCAGCGATCTTGATCGAGATTGGCTGCGATCCTTACCCTTTCCCTTTCCTTTGCTTTTCTCGCGGCCTTTTTCGTGCTTGTAAGGACATGATGATCCGCGCTTGCATTTTCCGGTCTTTTGAAACTCGTAGCAGATGCCTTTCTTCTCCTCCGGAGCTGGCATGGTTGTGTCTTTGGACCCGAGCGAACGCTTCGTGGCGTCGCGCATCTTTTCCAACCTCCTCCGTTCGAGGTAGGCCCGGGCAGCTGTAATCAGGAAGTCATACATTCTTTCTTTGCTTCCATCCGCTGCACGGTCGTACAAGGCCAAATCATGCTCAAGCGGCTTGAAACGTTTCACAGCCAGGTGGAAATAGGCTTCCAGAACACTATTTTCTGGTTCCTTTTTCATTCCGGCAAGAACGCTATCCCATTTATTTATAAAGCCCTTGAGGTCATCGTTGACCATCTTGACGGACATGAGGTCTTCGAGTCCGTAGATTGCTCCATGCTTAATGCTTGTGGCAAAATACTCGTGGAACCGAAGGAGCAAATGCCTGCCCTTCACGTTCTTGTCTTCACGAGCTCGCAGCTCCTTGAATGTAGCAATCTGCCGACCGAGGTCCCCCTCAGCGCAATTAGTTAAGCTTGCAAGAAGCTTTGCGTCAAGGGTTGCGAATCCCTCTGAATCATCCAAGGCATCGATGGTTTGGGATTCCTTGTACACTTTCCCAACCCATGATCTCGCTTCATCCGGCTTTGCTGAAGCTGCAGCAATGTTGTCCCTCACCTTGATCTTCCAGTCTCTGTACTTCTCAGGTGTAGGGAACTTAGGAATGAGAATCTTGTCAGCCTCTTTGGCTTTACTCTCATGATCCTTGTCTTTCGACTTCCTTTGCTGCTTCTTCAGCTCCTTGCGAATGATGCGTGCAAGACGCGATGATTCAGAACTTGAGTCATCGGAGTCATCACTCCCTCCTGATGAGCTGGGTGATGAGGGTGATGGAGAAGGTGAGCGTTTCTTTCTGCGCTCCCTAGAGCGGCCCCTCTTTGGGCTCTTCTCTTTCTTCTTCTCTTTACCCTTCTTCTTCTTGTCTTTCTTTGATTTGTCACCACCCTCTTCATCAGCATCGGATGGATGAGGCTCTTCACCGCCTTCGATCCCGGGCTTCTCCAATTGAGTGCGAAGGCTCGCAGGAGGCAAAGCTGGGGATACCTGAGATCCAAGTGGCTGCATAGATGGTGCAGGCACTCGGTTCCCCGAGGCGTTATCAAACCTCTCTCTCAACTCCTTGATGATTCGACTCTGTTCTGCTAACTCTGACCGAAGTGCATCCTCTCTTTGCTTGGCAGAGGCGCGTTCGTTCTCAACGACGGCGTGTCGTTCGAGCGAAAGGCGATCTAGGTAAGCCCGTTGTTCATGAAGATGTTGATTTTGGTGGGCTTGGTTCATGTCACTCAATCGTTGACTGGCTAAAGCTTCAATTTGTTCCCTAGACTCCTGGACAGCCACTTTAGCTTGGTTCTCCACTAAGTCTCTAAAAAGTCTAGCATCCTCTGCTACTTGTTGCCCATGCTCGGCCAAAATGGCCTGATGCCTCAACTCCGCGATCTGAGCTACCTGAGCTGATCTATCCTCATTGACGAAGACGGCTTGTTGATGAATCTGTCTCGCATCAACGTTCTGAACATTCATCACAGGAGAAAACTCAGGTTGAAACGGCGATGGAGCTTGAACACTAGGCAACAGGTCCCCCTGTGCACTGAACGTCGGCGGCCCAATTGGCACACGCAACTCCAGCGGAACGACAGGGAGCTCAGGAGCAGGCGAACTGGACATCGCAGGCGAAGTAGGAACATAGCCTGAACGTGAGCGTTCTCCACGGGAACTATCATCATCAGCCATGGCCCCTAGATAGTGCACTACCTACGGTGGGGTGAGACCACAGCTAGTAGAAAGCACGTACCGCACTTTTGGCGATACGGCTGATAACCTGTAGTTACAGGTAAACGACCGAGAACTACCAACAAGTCGCACCTGGTTTTCCTTGAGCCAAACGGTGGGTAAGTGAGACATGTATTAGACATCCTAGCGTGAAACTACACGACGGAGGAGCCTATGGTAGGATAGATGCCCCCTATTTGTGGTTTTGTGAGTTCAGGGACGAGTTGATCAAACAAGGCTGTCGTCAATCACCTCTTGACCCATGTGTTTTCTCTTACTTCTCCAATGAAGGTTTAGAGGGTTGTTTGGGAATTCATGTAGATGATGGGATAGGAGGTGGAAGCCCAAAATTCATGGCCATGTTGAAAAGGGTTGAAGCTCGTTTCAAGTTTGGTGCTTTTGAACAAATTCACTTACACCGGGATCCATTTTCGGCAGTGGGACGATGGTTCCATTGAGTATGATCAGGGTTCTTACATCGAGAAGATTGGTCCAATTGTTTTGGGAAAAGGTAGGAAGGATGACCCCGAAGCATTGATCTCGGAAAGTGAAAGAACCGCGTCTAGAAGCTTGATCGGAGCTTTACAATATGCAGCTGTTCATAGCCGACCAGATTTGGCCGCAAAGATTGGAGAATTGCAAGGTGAAGTGACAAGAGCTCGGGTGAAACATCTTTGTTTAGCCAACAAGGTCCTAGCAGAGGCGAAACAGCATCGGGTCTCACTAATGGTGTTGCCCATTGACCCGGGAAATGTCACATACTGCGCGTTCTCAGACGCTTCCTTTTCATGTATCAAGCATACCACGGCACATCAAGGAACTATCATTTTTGCAACAACGCCTGAACTACTCGGGAATAAGAAAGCTGTTGTTGCTCCTGTTGCCTGGTATAGCACAAAGGTACCCCGAATTGTGAGAAGCACCTTGGGAGCAGAAGCGGCTGCTCTTAGCAACTCAGCAGATCGGCTACTGTGGATCAGAGTGCTCTGGGCCTGGTTGTTAAATCCAGACTGCAATTGGAAGGAACCAGAGAAGTTGTTGACTGGTGAGAATCGTGCTGCACTGGTGACTGATTGCAAGTCAGCGTATGCCTTGTTGACTCGTACAGCCCTTCCCCAGTGCACAGAGCATCGAACCACTATAGAATGCCTCCTCATTCGCGAACGACGTCTTCGCGATAACGCAATCGTTAGGTGGGTGAGTTCTCAAGCAATGTTGGCAGACTGTTTGACTAAGACTATGGACAGCAGTGTGTTGCGGGAGTGTCTCAGGACAGGTAGGTATGTTTTGCAAGACGAGACGAGGGACATGTTCTGAAAGAAAGGCTCACCTCGAGAGAACGATTGAAGTGGATCAAAGAACATAGATCACAGAAACCAAGTACAGAAGAACAAAGTACAGAAGAGGCCATGACAGTAGAACAACCTGGTGCAAATGACCATGCACGAGATTTTTGGAAACGCGGCAGACACGGTGAGGTGATCAGGGTGCACAATGTGCCTAGATATCAGATGTTCACTCCTGTCGGGGTAGCTGATTGTCCGGTAGATCTCAGGGGATTAGAGGTTTTCCTTGACACCATTCTACAGGGGAAGACAGCAGAGAGGAGCTATTGGGTTGGCACCTGTGCACATAAAAGATTACCATTTCCGTGGAAAGGCGAGACAATTTTTTATTTGAAAAAGAAGTGTTGATGAGTGTGAAACTCACAAGTTTCTTGCATGAAAGGAAGATGTCTCGCCTCGTGCCCGCGCTCAGTTCGACCCACTTACAAGGGTGGGAGGGAGGCTGTTCATGTGAGACAAAGGTGCGGTCACCAGTCTGGTTAGGTTCTGGATAGGGCAGAGTTCCCTACTGTAGGTCAATCAATACTCCAGTGCGAGTTCAACAATATATATATATATAGTGATGGCCTCCAACCTAATAGCAATGGCCTCCAAGCTAACAGCGACGATGGTGCAAGCACATTCCGCGTTTCTCTGGGCGTCTCATTTCTCCGGCCTTCAGGTCGACAGAACCCTGCTCCCACAAGATGATAGGCCTGACTCAGAAGGTCAACAAGTAACAGTAAAGCGTTCAAGCAGCAGCTTCCAATAATTAAGCTGTCAGAATGATCTTGGATCTGCTGGTAAGAGGCATGGTCCTATTCTAGTTCTTTCATTCAAAGCAAGCTCCTCTCACTACCTAGCCTGCTGCCAGCCAACCTCCCTTTTCTTTCCCTTATCTTCCCAATACAGAGCTAGTCTTGGCGTGATGCATGCGAATCTGTGAATCGCTTTTTGGACAGTAATGCCCGTGCCGACCGCTACCCATGAATGATGGATCATGATCTTTGTTTCCTACTATGACAAGGCTTCAACAAATCAATCGGCCAACCTTCGTATAGTTCTGCCACTTCTCCGCACGGCAAACTGACCCATAGGGTGCTCTCGTTGGTGTGTCAGAGGCATTGGCAAGGTTGAAGTAGACCTGAATTTGTTGTTCAGCTGCTTGCTGAGCTGTTTCCCTGTTGTCAAAAAGCGAACAGAAACAGTACTTTTGGGATGGGCAAAATGCAGAATATCCTTCAATATCCTGGTTACAAGAGGATTGAAACGGGAAATCACATAGCGGCTTGATCCGGGCTGGCTTTCAAACAATCTGGATACTGCTCTAATTTTGGACCTTGGATGAGGTTCGGAGTTTCCCTGACCTTCCCAATCATCCAGGCCTTCCAGTCCTGCAGCCCATACATGCAATCCTTGTGCCCACCTGGCATATGCTCCAAGAAAGAATTCTGCACCTCTTCGGACTCTTCGGACATTGAGTTTCTTGTTTTGTGCACAGGTTGAGTCTGCTTTACAATTGGCAACACGGACTTCCCAAAGATGCTTGCCTCTTTTGAAGACTGTTCCTCCCCACTGCTTGCCCATGACCCTCGCAGCAACTTTGCACTCTGCGGCACTGTCGATCACCATTTCATCCCTGGGACGACATGCTTTGAGCTCCGGTGATGTCTAACCGTCTAACCGCATCTCTTAACTGTGGTCTGTTGCTCTTCACTTTTCCAGTGTCACCAAATCTGAGGCAAGCGGCGGGCAGTATTGCATCCACTCAGTTATTTCATAGACCTCATTTTGACTCTCTTCAGCTGATGAACCTGTGACCGCTTGGACCAAGCTTGGACGGTCCTGTCAGTCTTACTTGGGTCTTGACTCTGTGATTGTAGCCAAAGTCTTGCTGCAAACCTTGACAAGTATGTGTCTCTCGCAGAATTTGAAACCCCAGCTTTGCAGAAATCGCGCTGAGGACTCCACGTACCAAAACCTACCACATTTGAAGAACATGTGATGCTGTTGACAAATATGTGCAGTATATAAATAGTGTGTGTGTGTGTATGTGTAACCCTTGGAGTCATAGGGATCCTTTTGGATTTTAATTTGTTTTATCGCAGGGGAGCGGTGGGCATTCTTGAAGTCACCGCTCAACGAAGACACTTCAAGTTTGCTGTGATATGCAATCTGGACGCCGATTGCACGTACCTGCATTTTCCTGTTCCGAATGGCAAGAGGCTAAGCCAAGAACCTCATTGAACGTACGCCGTCACCTCGCCCTGTTCGTCTTCTCGTGGCCTTTAACTACAGGAACTCTGGTCCCCTTCACCTGGTTTTTCAGGATTTGGGTCTCTTAGGCCGGCGTGTGGCACCGCATTCAGTTCAGTACACAATATCTCAAGTGTGTTTGGCTTCGCGCCAACCCGGGATGAGCCCGCAGAGTGCCTCCCGTGGACCCGTCGAACGGGTGTATGTCTTTCTCTCCCTTGCTTTGGAGAGGTAGGTGTCCGGAGCGGACAGCAGGTGGCCTCGGCCGTACGTCCGATGATTTTTGTCCCATCTTTGGAATTCCAAGTTGGCTCATGCCTTTACGCGACCGCAGCGGTCAGAGGTGGCAGCCTTCGGGCAAGCCGTACGTGGTCGCAGCGACCAAAGTTTGTTCAAGGCTCATTGGAGTCTGTTGGCAGTTGATCCTCCTCCTCTCGCCATGTTCCCTTCTCCGGCTGGTCTCACTCCTGTGGACGGCATCACGATGAGGGCCCAGACTATTCTACATCGAGAGATTCTTCATTTACATGGTTTATTGATTCTCGCAATCTCCCTTCTACGCACCCGCTTCGCTATTCTCAACCCTTCGTTTATAGACCACATCACATCACCCCATATTCAGTTACAGATTCGAGGTCTGGACTCTGCGATTCGACAGGCGACCCAGGCTATCCATAATGGTGTGCACTATATTCAGGAACTCCTCACCACCTTTGGGATGATGCATGCCTTGAATTGCGACACCACTCAACTGGATGCTGAACTACGTGGATGCTCGACCTTCCCTGAACCCCCCTTCCTTCTTTTCCTGCTTCTCCTCTAGGTCCGACTACGACTCGAAGTATGACATCTACCAGTTCTATTCCGGCGGTATCACCGACTCCGCCACCGAGCACCCCTACGATTCGTACTCCACATCGGCCTGTGATTAATCGATTCAGGACAGCACCGTCACGCTCTCGGTCTCACCCTCGTTTGAACTCTAGGAATCTCTAGATACCTCCTTCGCTCACTCTTCCAATCTCGTGAGAAAATGTCCTTTTATGTTTCCAACTTACTCCAGCGCTTCGAGACACCTTTTCACAACTCTATACTTTTGGTTCTTGTGGCTCTCAGCTTTCCCAAGCCCTTTACCTATATCTAACCCCGTCGAGCTCACACCCCTCGCTCCTCTTCGTCGCCATGTCGATGCCACCCACGGGATTGACCTCAATCACAGGCCTACCTGCTGCTGCTCATGAGGTACTTCATCGTGAACTTCTTCATATACACTCTTCTTTACATTTGATTCTCCTGATCTTACGTGGACCTCTGGACTCCGTCACTCCCTCCATTGTGGACACGATCACCTGCCCTCGTCTCAGCGCTACCCTTCGTGCACTGGAGACCAGCCTTGACCAGATTCGACGATCTACCCGCACTACACTGGTCTACGCCGATGAACTATGCTCCACTTTGGCATTTCCACGTCCTACTGGCCACTTGGGTTCCTCTCCTACATCCTTTTCTTCGCCCAGGCCTCCTCTTATCCTCTTTCCTTCTCCTCCTTCTCCACCTGTGACGCCGTCGATGACTACTACCACGGATCCCTGTCCTCCTCAAGCTCCTCCTCCTTCTCTGACTCCTTCGGTTCCATCTTCGACTTTGACAAGGAGGCCAAGCTCTCACTCACCCTCTCGGTCACGATCCCCTCCGCGACGATTCAGATTTTAGCCGATTTCTCACCGACCGAACCACGAAACACTTACTTTTGCAGAAAAAGCTCTCCTTTTCCACTGGATTCTGTTTTATGATTGATCACTCAATTTTTGTTTTCATTTTGGTCCTTCGGTGTCCTCGCCGACTTTATTCCTATTCCTTTTTCTTTCCTATGTTATCTTCGGCTCACTAGCAACTGCTCGTCTCGCTCCCGCGCTTCTTATTGCTTCTTCTGCCATGACTTCGACATCTACACCACCTTGTGGTTTGGCACCGATCCATGGTCTTCCACCTCGTGCTCAAGCAATGCTACATCGTGAACTTCTTCTCGTACATGTTCTCTTGGCCCAGGTCCATGCCCTACTCCACATACCACTCAGCATTCGCACTATTCCGTTCATGTCTCGGGTCACACACCCACAACTTCGAGCTCACCTTGAAGGCTTGGACAATACACTCCTTCTCGCTCTTCGGCTCAACCACACCGCTGTCCACTACACCCACGAGCTCCTTACCGCCCTGGGCCTCCTTCATATTATCTTACTTTTATATAGTGGTATTTTGGTATTTTTTTTGGCTGCTTTTGACTGTTTTCATGGGAAGTGAAAGAGCTGCAAAAACGAGAATAGAAAATAACTTTCAAACATTTTTGTGGTGACTGAACCGCAAAAACACTAAAAGGCAAAGATGCACGCCATCATTATGTTTCATCAGTTCCTCCTCCCAAATGGTTAGATTCCTGTGATCACATTTTCCCCTTCAGGTGTGTGTGTGTGTGCTACCTTGGTCTTGTTGAAAATCTTTCACTTACACATACATGGGGTGAAAATAAAAATCAATAGCTTCCACGAGAAAGCTCACATGAGAAAACGAGACTTGAAAATAGCGCAGGGCTAGTCATTTTGCACTTGCACTGCTCCCTCATTCACGCACGCACAGGCTGCCGCCAGTGGCCGGAGCAGCCACATGGCGACAGTCTGTGGGAAACCTAGTTTAATTAGCATTGCTTGCCACACTTTAATTTAAAGCGCCCAGTCTTCAGATTGCAAGTGATTGCGCACCCAGCTGCGACCTGCCTCTGAATAAGCTCCATGAGAATGTGTGTAGCAAGCCTGTGGGCCTGTGGCCATTGGCTTTTGCTCAAGCATTTGTATTTTTGCAAGAGCTTCCAAGGGTGATAAGACTTGAGCAGTTTCTGTTGAACCAAATGAGCTGTTTCGCCACAACCCTTTCCATTATTGCCATCATCATGGAAAAACTGCGCGTTTTGACGTCGCAGCATTGCAATGTGAAATTCAACTAAAATTCACGTTTTGAAGGACGCTTTCCCTTGGGCCAAACCATTCAATTATCCTTTACTTGCAACTTGCGAACTTAAGCACACATGACTGACCTCAATTATCAACCCAGACCCAGACACCTAATAATTTTTCCGCGCCAGCAAGTTTCAAAAAACGCTGGGCGAAGCAGCCAGCAGACGGTGTTGGCCCTGGCCGAAGCAGCCAAAGGCCACTCACCCCTCGTCCAAAGGATCCCAAACATCCTCCTCGAATGCCTCTTCCTCCTCTTCATTGTCGTCGTCATCTGCCTGCTCTGCCTCGAGACGCGGCTTTTTCGACTTGGGCTCTGACTTTGCCTCCGCCTTTGGTTTTCCCTTAGGCTTGGGAGCTGGCTTTGGCTTGGGAGCCGACTTTACCTTTGGCTTGGGGCGTGGCTTGCGCTTCGGGATCGCTGGCTGCGATGAAGAAGTCGTTGACCCCACAGCTTGCGCATAGGCACTGTTGAACAATGGCGAGGCAGTCTCCTTCACGCTCACCTTCATTAGGTCCAGGAGCCGTTCTTCCATCAGCTTGACATGGGTGTCAATGTAGCAGATGCCCATGTACGCAGTCCTATAGTCTTGACGCACGCCCACGCCAACTTTCCATCAGCTGGGCTCAAGTCCAGCACCAGCTTGGCATAGAAGGTGTGCAGGAGCTCCTCCATCAGCTCAAGCGGTGGCGAGAAGTAGCAAACAGGCTCGGGCAAATCTTTGGTTCGGTCGTTGATTTTTGGCTCATCCTCTCCACCTTCTGTGCGCCCGCCCACCGCGATCAAGTGGCGCTTGCCATACAGATCCTTTTTCTCCGACCACTTCATGCTCCATTCATCAGTGAGCTTAGGAAGGGCCACGCCCTGAATGAGGTCACCTGTTGAGCTGCCAACATAATGGAGTCTTGGCCGTTGTGGAGTAGCTTAGCCGAAGCAGCTAAAGCTTTCAAACTTGCTTCACTTGAGTGAAAAACGGCTGCAAACGAGCAATTTGAAATCTGAGAAGATAGGGCAAATCGCCCTCTTCTTTCGAGGTTCAAGAACGTTCCCGAGCCTCGGGTGGAGAGGGCAGTGAGGGGACAACTATGGGCAAAACTATATTATATAGTGGTATTTTTGTTTCGCCCTCTCCTTTCGAGGTTCAAGAACGTTCCCGAAGCTCGGGTGGAGAGGTCAAACCGCCCTCTCCTTTCAAGCACTGTCGTCGATTTTTTCACCTTCGAGCTGAGAAGTCAGCTCGCGCCTTGCCCGCTTCCAACTTTCTAAGGTTTTTTAATTAGCAAGCCCCGGCCGAAGCAGCCAGTGACTTAACCTCAAGCCTACAACAAACCCTGCAACCTTGGCCGAAGCAGCCAATGGAAGTAACGGCTGCTGCGACGAAGTTAGCCCGGCCTGCTCTTTTTGGAAAGGCGTGCTGCAGCCTTAGGCCACACGATCCCACTTTTGAAGCTGCCAGTCTTCAAATAAAGGGAGTCAGGTGCGATCTGCACTGCAAAGGCAAAATCCCCACACCAAGTCTCCAACATAGTGTCCCAGTCGAAGCGGTCGTGAGTCGCCCGACTTTGTGACAATGCTGCCATCACTTCAGTAGCGTGCCAAAAGTCATTTTTGACATAGTTATTCAATGCCAGTGTCTTGCCTGGCGCACGCGCAGGAAGAGCAGTCATGATTCTGTGCTTTGGTCGCGAGTGAAGGTCGGACAACGCGATTGTGGTG